TGCCGGATAGGGAAAATTGGACGTTCTTTCATTTTGAGGTGGGGAGGTAGTTAACTATATATTATACAAAGATATGACACATGCAATGAGGCAGCGGGCACGGGAGTACCCTGGGCCTTACCCACCTACATATGATATCATCAGCATGACTCATTTGAGATAAAATGAAGGGTTGGAACAACGCGTTGCCAATTGGGCAAAGCTCAGAAGAACCGCCGGGAGGTTGTGAGAGGAAGGTCTAGCGGGTTTCCGGGAGATCATAGCTCACTGCGCACAGACCTGAGAGCCACAGCACTTATAGAACCATCGACACCCCGGAGTCGGCATCCTCGAAGCTCGCTACAACTCGCATTCTCGTCTGCAAGCTCGCGACAGCTCGCCTTTTTTGCTCCCACCCACCACCCCTATATTTCTCAGTGCGCCCTCATTGCCGACTCGGGATTTATCGGTGGCAACGATCTCGAGTGACAAGGGCAGCGGCATCTCCCCAAACGCCTCCGCCAGTGGACCAAGAAATGGATCTCGATTGATGGCGCGGACTTCTCGGATGGTTATGGTTTCTTATTTCTCTGTTCTGATTTGGCTTTTCATTCTCGCATATTGGCTACTATCTTAATGTATTTCATTGGCTTTGGAAAATTGGTGAGATACCAAAACATTACTTTGGCGTTTGCATGACAGGGCTCCAACCAACGACATTGATGTATATTCCTTTTATAATTCTGTATCTAGGTTCAACACATCGATTATTATTGCTCTGGGAGGTGAGAAAACTGCCAATACGTTTCTAGCGAGCAAAGCAGCGGGTGCGACCAAATCGCAATAAATACCCACATTTTCCCCACATTTCTTGAAGTAGGTTCACAATACTCGTTTCTTATCGGTAGGAGATTGGAAAAATGGCTAATAACATTCAGGAGAGCGGAACAGCCGGTGCGGCGAAATCTGGGGTTAGGATGCATAATCGTGAGCGGATGGGAAATCGGAATAGACGCTGGAGAGCTACAATAGCGGAAAAGCAAGAACGGAGTACTTTAAAGAGTTCGGAGAATAACCAATGTGTGGAACTTTGGCCTGCGCATCGTTTTGTTTTTTTTAATATTTTCCTTCTCTTTTCAAGATCTGAAAATCAGGAGCTTTCGTCCTGTATATACATAGGAGGTGCCAGAGGTGAAGAGAAATGCTCACCACAATTTACCTATAATTCCCAAGCCTCTAGGATCTGATGGGTTAGTTAACTGTGGTTGTAAGTGTGGAAACTGTTGAAAATCAGGAAATGCAGCTTCCGTGATGTGATGTTGACTAGGAGTAGTATGTCGGAGGGTGAGGCAAAGCCTGTTTGGTGATGGTTTGGTAACGAAGCGGTGGAACAAGCTAAGGAAAGGCTAGCCTATGAGAAAGGGTGTGTATGAACTAGAGGTTTGTGCAAGGAGAAGTGTTTGGGAGGTTTCGGGAATTAGTACTAGGGATACCGGAGGCCACAGGTTATGATCCGGAGGCCATGAGACACTCGGGTGTTACACTATAAGAGTTAGGAAACCGGAGAAGAAGCACAAAGGTAGAAGGTCTGTCTGGAACAGCTGTAGTTTAGTGGAATGGTTTGAGAGAAAGTTTGAAGGAGCTGAGCGATAGGAATTGTGTGTCATTATGACGAAAATGGGATATGGAACTCTGCGATGTTGACTGCCAAGGAATATGCTTGCAAAGGACCAGTTTGTGTATATATAGGACACCACCGGCACCATAGAAAGAACAAGGATCGCAGACACTCTCTACCTATCATAGCCTTACTATTTGAGTAACCCCTCCTGCTTGATATCATATATTTGGAAATTTTAACTCTTTCCTTTGGGGTAGGAGCTATAAATGGTCCAATAGACATTGCCCAAGGACGCTGATAGCTTTTTGACAAACACTAGTCCTGGCAATGATTTCTGACCCCACCCCAACACTTGTCTATTAATATACACCTCTCTACCTGCTCCACTCAACAACTAATGATCAAATGGAGACAATACTTTTAATACTTGGAAAACCTGTTCCAAGACCTCCCCAACCCCATATTATAAATCAATTAACATAGTAAACCGATCTCCAGAAATCTGTTGTTTTGTCACTGATGAGTATACTGGCTTAGTTATTCTGATATCTTGGATAAGTGTTTATGGTGCTATTACCAGGATTGGTGATGACAGATAGTGGGTTTCTTGTATTATTGGAATGACTTTCTATGTATGGTGAGTGATGATGGTTGTATTGCAGGAACAGACAGTACACTTGTCCTCATTGGGAAATGAAGCCAGCATGAACCTCTCGGTGTGGATTATGAAGAAGCGTAGGCGTCATCATGCGAAGATGACAGAGTTGCTTGAACACCTGTATAAAGGACGCTGCGCGCTGGTTATGTTAGTCTATTGAAAGTGAGTGAGGAATACAAGAAAAACCAAATCACCAATTCAGCCAACATTCAGCCCGCTTCATCTACCATTTTCTTACTTTCCATCTATTTTTTCAATAAAATCTGGAAGGAACTTACGTTTCTGTCCCTATTTGGTTGCAACAGCCTTCTTGGTCGTAAGAATATATTGACAATTGTCTCAACCCCCTAGCAATAATCATTTAGTATTGTGACTCAATTCCAGATACCTAGAAGGAACAAACTCCACTGTGATTAGATATTTCATTCATCTCGTACAAGCTCTGTTTGTCATAAACAAAACTGATTGACACACCAACACATCCTAATCTTCCAGTCCGTCCAATACGGTGAAGATAGGCAATTCTCAACTCTCGGGGTCGAAGGTGCAGGACGACGGTCCTTACGCCGGACGGTGGGCCCTATAGTTCCGGTCGCGACAAACCTGCTCATGGCTGAGAAAAAAAAAATAATCGACCCATTTCAAGTTGAAATATCACCATCAAGAAGAAACCTTTTCTTGACCTTAAGAACATAGAAATGTAGATAAACACCTGCTGCATTAATCTGTCATTTCAATCTCTGTAAATATAGACTAGGTGACCACAATCTTTGGGTTTGAAGTTGGGGCATGGTATGGGGAGACCTAGTAACCGCCACCTACAAATTGTAGTCAAAAATATGCCAAGACACACACATTTCAGGGTGACATCATATTATGATAGTCCAAATTCGGTCCCATAGTCATAGTCTTTCTTGATACCGTTTGCTCGCTTTTGCCATTAGAGGTATATTTTGTAAGTTTCTAGGCTCCCTCTGGATCAGATATTCCTAAGAACCAGAACTATGATACTAGCAGAATCGGAAAAAAATAAGTAAAAATCCCAAGAATACGCTTAATACTCAGCATGAACAATAGCCGCATGTGCAAGCTTATCGCGACCGGAACCATATGAGGCGACATGTTAGTCGTGGGGAGGCGGTGTTGATTGTGGGGGATTTCATGGGAGGGCCGGGAACGGTTAAGGACGGGGGATGGTTGAGGGCGGCCAGGAATGGTGAGACAGCGAGGGGCTGTAAGTGTGGTGGCGTGAGTGTATGTGCGTTGAGCGGAGAAGAGGATCAATCGTTGTATTTCCCTGTTCCGTCCCTGTCTACATAAGGTATCATAAAATACATTGCAGCAAATATTTGTCCACTGACTTTCCCACACCCTGACTTCCATACGGATAGCCCCCAGTACCCATACCAACTAACAGGGACTACGGGGGACTGTAGGGGGCGTTTGAGGATAACCTAGGATAGTGAAGGATGGTACGATAGGGGATGACGAAGGACAGCAGGGTTGGGCGGGGGACAGCCCGGGACCGGATGAGTGACTTCACATAATGTAATAATAATTTGTTTGAAGTTGTATGGTTTTAACTTGGATAGTACCAGAGGCCAAGCGATAGGACTGTTGTCCCCTACAGTCCGTCTGATCTTCCCATTCCCCTGACATACTCCTCCCAACCCCCCAAAAAGTCGGACTATGAGCTGTAGTCTGTCCCGCCCTACACCGACGACGGACTGACTGGACGGCGGGGAACATTCAAGATAGGTCTGAGGGTCAGGCCGCCGGTTCTGATCAAAAGCGAAGTCATAATCGACCACCATTGAGACAGTCGCTACCCCAATACCGCCGTCAAAAAACATTGGTAGCATAAGGACTTTAGCTTTTGCATCACTGAAAGCATCGATAACCCTGTCTCGATCCACGCCTTCCTGTGCACTATTGAGCTTAGCAACCAAGCGGCAACGTTGTGCCCACCCGGCTACATTCGCCTCTGAATCCCGGACGCTGTTTCGCGTTTCTAAACCACCAGATCAGTTTTCACACTGACAAAATGTAATTATCTTTGGGTCCGTTACCTTCACGAATTTGTTTGAAGACTGAATTGTCGAAACACGATAAAACTTAATCAATACCCTGTATTTATCCTCTTCGCCTTCACAAACCACCCAGAGCCGTCGGATCCCACCTATGGTAAGCAGTGCTCCCAGTCATCCCGTCCGATGGCCGTCGACAGCAGTCGACTAAAATTGGTCAATGCACCCAATTCCGCCCAGTAAGACACACACAAGTGCTACAATAAGTTAAACAAAAATAAGATAAAACAAACAAATAAAGTTTAAAATTTTTAATCAGGTGATATTGTATCCATAAAAGGAAACCCAGGACTAGTGCCGTCCGACTGTCATCGCCCCCTCCAGTCCGTCCAAAAAGGAGGCATTGTCGTCTTCCGTCATCCTGACCCCGTCTAGGACGGACTGGACGACTGGAAGCCCTGATAGTAAGTCCTTCCTGCTTAAGGATGATCAAGTCTCAGCGAGCACGGAAACTTTGAGATGTTCTACACTCAATTTTGTTCGCCGAATCAAGTCAAGAAACATGACAGGTGTTCCCAACGACAAGACGGCATGAACCCTCCTTCCACCCTTGACCATATTCGAGACAGCAAACTGAGTTCAATGTGTGAAAATTACCCCATGGTTTGGGCAACCATCACCATCTATCCCACCAGTTCTCGATATGGAGCCAAACGGACAGCTTGGACACTGCCGACGACATGTCAACACGAGTCAACATTGTCAAAACGAAGGCTTCCATTTTCCTACCACCAGATTGTAATGGACCTATTGCATTTGTCGGGAGGGGGGTCTGATAAGAGCAGGGCCCTTGCTCTTTCATCTTTGTCTGCTCCTTACAGTTTATGAAATGAATATTCTCCAGAGGCACCTTGGTTCTCTAATCAAACACAACGGTCAGCTCCGCAAAAGATTGTAAACAGGGCCCGGAGCCAAAATCAAACAAGCAAGCATGGATTCTAAAGTGCAAACGCCCCGCGAACTGATTTGAGGATAAAGCAAACTTGAACTCACAGTCCTAGGTCTCCAAATCTTCTGACCGCAGAGAAGGCTCAAAAGGGACTATTAATATCCCGCGGTAATGTCGGCAAGCTTTACAGAAACCTTTTATTGGGGCTCATCGATACCCTCCCCCCCCTACGGGATGTAGCGCGGTGGGAGACAGTGATCCCAGGCGGCCAATCCGCCCTGCTTTGAGCACTGCCGGACCGACCCAGGCTCTTTCAGGGACGGCTGGGCCGGACTGTTGGAAAGCGGCTATTCCGAGCCAAAGCCGGGCCCAGCCTGGGTCACCTGTAGGCCGATGTTTCAAGAGATTACTTGTTTTTCATTACTAATATATATTTCATTATTCAACAGAATTAATTTTTCACAAAGTCACCGGGTTAACACACACTTACCCAAGCTAGTTATAGAGCTATGTGAAGAATGGTATAGTGTCTCGAGGTTGGACAGCATATTTGGGTATCATGGTGGTTCATCGGTGGATGACATAGATTCATCTTAGGGGAGATATAGCGCCAGGTGCATGTTGCTACTATTATCAAATTCCGAGTGATGTAAAATAGAAACCTTGCAGGCCGTCAATAGAATCTTCAGATTACCCGGGTATAGGGCGGCTTTACCTGGTCATCAGGCGGCTTCGACCGCCTTTGCGCCAAGACTCGACCTGGTGGCCGCTGACAATTTCGACCGGACTGACCCAGGCTTTTCAAAACCAAAGCCGGACTGACCGGACTGCCGACCAGTGGTCCGGACTAGCCGCTTCGGATCACTGGTGGGAGATGCTTTATTGGCAGTAATAACAGTACCAAAGGAGGCTTCGGGTATGTTCCCAACCCGGGACCCGAGATAAACTGGCTGTTTGGCCATTGGTGATGAAATGGTCAACAAAAACAGTGGCCCGGTGCAGGAAAGGGGGTAGATTCAAGAAGTCAAGCCAACAGTGGTGGAGCCGAGGGAGTACTGAGATGAGAAATGGCATTGGAATATTGAAATGATCTGACCGGCTGGGGGGTTGGTGAAGCCTGAAGCAGGCAAACAATCTTTTTGGCAATGTTGAAGCAAAACCTTCGCGGAATGCTGAGGGTGCAAGCATTAAATCCGGTGGAGTCGTTAAAGAATGAAGATTTTTTGTTGCTTGGCCACAGACCGGGGGGTGATTCGGATTCTGAGGAGGAAAATTCATGACTTTGTCTGAAAGCTTGTACCGCTATCCCGAATCGAGTGTTGACCTAAACGAACGGGGGAGCCGATAATGTGGGCTAGTCATGGTGACTTAGTCACCACCGGCAAAGAATGGGATGTGGCCGTTGGCCAAGTCCACATCGCATCGTACGCATCACGAGCGAGCCCCCATATGTACCATACGGCCTAGAAGATGTGAGGCCTCAACTCCTCCGTCGAGAGAAAGGAACACCATTGAGGGCACCGGTGGCCGTTCTTGCGCCGAATTGATTCGCAAGGTGTCCCATGGCGCTCAGTAAACCATACATTTTTCTCGCCAGCTTGTCAAGAACTATATAACATAGTCACGTCCTTAAAGTTTACCTCCCCTTCCTTCTTCCTGAATGGTAGTACCTGAAAGGGGCAGAAGAATAGCAACAACCTCTTAGAAGACTGCCTCCGGATATACGTTTAGCGATATTGTAAATTTTTATCGCAATTTCCCTTCCTGCACTAAGGGATGTCAGGGCTGCCAAAGCATTTCCGGAGGCTAATATAATAGCAATTTGGAGAAGGGAACTCTAGAGACATGGCTGTGGAGAGACTAATGGCTCAGGCCCCCTCCTGCACTTATAATTCCCAGTGTCCCCGTGATCCTCTCCCCTTTTACTTTCCACTTGCAAAACAGTAGTGGCGCAACAATATTCCCCAGATTTACCAAAGAAGTCGCGCCCAAACCCTTCGTCCTGCTCTAAGGATCTACAGCAAAATTTCTCAACAATATCTAGCAAGGGAAAACCTGTGGAAATTGTTTGTGGAAATTTAAAGAATTCTTCACCTCTGGTATAAATCTACTGACTCTCTAATGAGTGTTGATTTTTATTTCATACGTTATTTGATTGTCAGGGTTAGGTGTTTCACCGGATTTTTAGTTCCTGGTTTCGAAAGGGACCGGATACTACTCGTACTATATATCGATAGATACTCGAAGAACCTAGTCCCCTTAGGGCACTATGCTTGGCCAGCATACCAGTATACCCGAGTACACCCCGGTACCACAACAAGATTACGCCAACCTTCCCGTCCAACCAATACCGTCACTATTCCATAACTGCCTTCCCTCACAGATAATAAGACCAAATATTGATAGTATTTACCCACCGGATCGATCCGGCATTTCTCGCTCCCAATTGCTTCTCCTCAACCCACGCGCGCCCGCCACTAGATGCTGACATGAGTAGTGTTTCCCCCCCCCCATCTCCTAGACTATCGATGCTGACATCTGATTCTACTAGTGGCCTTACTACTGCTTCCGGCCCTTTCCCGGAAGCAAATATAAGAGGGGTCCGGCCGCATCCGTCAGGAGTATCGGGCTTGACATCCTTACTTCCTAATGGAGACTTTGGCCCTACGCTGCATAAGCCAAGAGGGAGCTTGACAATTATCTTTGGCCGTATCTGTCGGGCTTGTTCCGGTTCATATATTTCCTCCATACCGGACGCCTCGGATCGGGGGAAATATTTTGGTCCACCCGCATGACTACGATACCAGAGATGGGCTGGCAGGATCTGTTGTGGTCTCAAATTGAGCAAGGCGCCGGAGCCTAAAGGTGAAGGGCGGTGACTCCCTAGCCCCACAAGCCACAGATGGGGACTGAGGGCCTGAGAGCCAAGGGTGTGAGTCACTATAAGCTAAGAAAGCTGCGGGAATCTCCTGTCCGCTCTATTGACCGGAAGTGCTTGGTTGGTGGGGAGGGCCGTATGACAGGGTAAACAATATATTGGAATACCGGTGGTAGAACGAGAATATACGTCCGTAGCTTAAGATATTATCATTTTAAAAATTCAATTCATACAGACACCTTCTATTATTATCAAAGTACGGCACCCGGGCGCAAGGAGCACCGACCGCATTTAGACGAGTCGTCGGACAGAAGCTCCGACATTCCATTATAGATATCAGGTAGTGGTAGAAGTCCTATCCGACAGTATTGGTGTATAAGAATATAGGCGATATCAATATATCTGATGAGTACCAAGTATTAGTAGGAGATGATATTCAACACACTAGATCCGCCGTGGAAATATATGATATTTATACGATCAACCAGCATCCAAAGATCACGGTTTTTATGGCAAATGCATGCCTTTCATTCTAATACCGGTGGCCATAGTGCTGCCGAGCCATATCTGGTGACTATTAATTTCTACCACACCATTCCAACCCACATGCCCCTCGCGTACACATTATGCGCGCTATCGGGAATGCAGAGACCGAAGTGCACGGTACAAGTCGCGGGCCCGCCTGACAGGCAAGAGGGGGCAACTGCCGATATCTAGAGGATGGACTCCAGGACCTAGCGTCATCCTCATTGTTGGAAGTCCTTCCAAAGGACCTGCCCTCTTCCCCGGGACGCTTGAGATCGGAGAGGACTAATTATTAAAGGGGAGAAAACACAATGCGATCACAGGTTTCCTGTCATGGAGGAATCAAACCAGAACTTGTAGGCCGTTCCCTTGCGACAGTTGTCGATTTTTGTCCACCAATTGGCAATGCGGAGATAAACCTATAATATTATTAAACTCGGTTGCCACATCGGCCCAAGACTCAGGATGACATCTGTCCCCGAGGCTACTTGCCTTGCAAAATTCTGGGACTCACCTTTCCTAACAATCCACCCCCCCTTCCACGCCAAGAACTACCCCGGACTACCTCGCCACAAAATGAAAATGAACATGAAAAAATGAAATGTCGGTACCATGAATCGAACATGGGTCTCATCGGAAGTTGTGTTTCCACAACGAGGCGTACTAACCACTATACTACACCGACCTTGTTATTCATATTACACTTCTCTCCACTGTTATAAACATTGAGAAAGACTTCGCTTATGAGGTCGTGTGTTCAAGACAGTTCGAATTTCACTCCGAAACCCCACCACCCTGGCGCCTCCATTCCACGATACTTCACGAAGCCGTGGCCAAAGGCTCTGCTCGAGTGCCGGTACCGAAACCGGCTGCAAGCCAGCAATTAAAAGCACACCACAAAGCGAGAAACCGTCTTGTCGAAATAATCCCTTACGAGTAAGTTACCCCACAAGTTTCTATCGGAGTCGGCTTAGCGGGGTGCGTAGCTATTGTACAGTGGCAGATGCGCGATGCGATCCAGCCAAAAAATGATTAACCGAACACACAAATTGCTAAATACACTCAGAATATACCGTAGCATGCCGCGCCCAGAATACCGGTATCCCATTCACAGCCCACAGCTAGCTGCCATCACAATACTTCGCCGCGATAAGTCTTTTCTTTGTAAGTAGTCCGAACCCTCAACGAAGCACGATCGCTTGGCGTTTGTCGTCAAAACAAGACCAATGCCACGCAGTGTCGCATGCGATACTTCAGCACTTCCTTGATTTCAACCTACTGGTAGGGCCTAAAGTTATTTGGTCCCATGGATTTTTCCTATGGATTGCGACATATTGCCCGAAAGATCTCCAATCCATCAATTTTGAAAATAGGAGCGAGCGTCTCTTTTCATCCCTCTAGTAGTAATCCCTGCAGTTTTCGCAATGGA